ACATAGTTAAAATGCCCCATATGGCTACATAATCAAGGAAGGGGAAAAAGCATTTAACTATATCATTTTTCAAAGTGTAGATTTCCTATGCCCTACCTCATTAATCATGTAGGTTTCTTATTCAAAATACAGATTCTTGGCTTTACTGAATTAAATTATCTGGGCCTAATACCCGCTCCCCAAAACGCATGCTTAACATGCTCATGAAGTAATTTAATATTATATATTACAGAAATACAGATGATTTATAACATTTACACACTCACTATACATAAATACATAATATATATTATTTATAGGCAAAGTTATAGATGGTAGACCTCCTACCAAAGTTTGGAACATAGAATTGGAAGAGGAAGATGTAACCTTAATATCTGCCTATTTTAATAACATGTTACATAACTGAAACTCTTGATTGTTCCCACTGAAATATTGAGATATCTGTAAAGTTAAGTATTTTATAAGCAGCGATTGAGTGCATCATCTCTCAGACGCAGCACTGAGGTGGCTGAAATTTGCATTCAGTGTCCACATACCACGGCTTCTGTTCGCTGCCTCTTCCTCCAACTCCTCACATTTCTACAAGTACAAGTATCAGAAATGGGAATTGGTTTTCCATGATTTTTTCGAACAAGCATTTTTTTAACTGCTTCATATGATTGTTTTCTTCTCTGAGTGATTTCAAATTGATTTCTCAGTAGAAAGATCTTCAGTTCCAGAATTTTGCCAGATATTAAACTCAGACTAACAGGTCAGTGATTCCCATGTATATTCTACTTCATTTTCTCAATTATCTTAGTGTTCTAAGCTGCTCAACCCTCAAACTGCCCATACAGTGCAGTTTCCTTTCTAAAATGCAGCTGTTGGACAGAAAGAAAGAACAGTTCCAAAATGACAGCATAAAAATTTAGAGGGATGATTTATATAAAACTCTAATTGGCACTTTATTTGACATTTTAAAGGCATTAAGTATTTCAAAGCCATTAAGAAAATTGTTATTATTGCACAAGTCATTTTAAAAGAATAAATTTACCCACCAGGCTGTTAAATCCAAAGTATTTCCTTTGAACAGTGAATAATCCACAGTGATGTGCTTGTACTTTCATACAGTAATTAGAATTAATAACTAAAATGTTGCAAATATTGTCTCTAAGTAGAAGCACTGCTGTGTATTTTGTGAAGTTGTTCTTCTTAGGGTTGGAGATCAGCTTTTTAAACAGCATGATTCTTTTCTTTTCTATATGCTTTATTACTTTTTACTTATATAGGAAAGGATGAACACAATTTTGTAGGGCAATCTGCAATCCTCACAAATATTAAATTCTACCAGTGTTTTGTTTCTTTCACATACATTTCCACTGAGTTGCAGCATTGTGTTTGTTCCTCATCTTCATTTCGAGTACTTCTCTGTTCTGGGTTTATCAGCTACTAATTGAGCATTCAGCATAACACAGATGTGATGTGCGCAGAGATGCATTCAAGAAAAGATCAGACCAGGAGGCTGCCAATCTGCAGCTGGACTTTAACCTGCTTGCTTGTAATAAGGCTTAAATATAGATCCTAATTTATAGGCTTGGTGTGAATATTATTAAATCTTCCCCACTGTTCCCTTGTGCTTTGAACATTCGCTGACCTGTGAAGATAGCTGAGTGGATAAATAAACTTAGACCTGGCAAATCGGAAGGATATTAGAAATAGAACTAATCTTGATTTTTTTTAAAAAAAGCTTTATATTATATGATTTATTGATTTTTTTTGTAAACCAAGGAGACAGAAAGAGAAAAACAACACACATGAACTGGCTAGCATTTTTATTAATGGATAAAAAGTGGTAAGATTATTAACATTCATCCTGGCCTGCCTGTTTCTCTACCCTCATTTCACATTTGCTGGTAGTTGCATGAGTTACACTTGGCTTGAGCCTTGGAAGGCAAACGAGAGGCCATGAAGAGAGAAGGGACCAAGGGAAGGTGGCCCTAGGGCTGAGATATCAGTTCCCACCACCGAATTTGGTCCACGTGCTCTTTCCTCTGAGCCTTCCTTGAAGGGAGTATTCAGCCATGTCCAATGTTGCCATGGAGCAGGGAAGATTAACGCTGAAGGCAGCTTTTGTCTGAGGCAACCAGAAGGCACTGGTGAGCTTGTGAAACCAGGTCCTATAACAAGGTGAGGACAGGATTCAGACACCTGCTGGGTGAGCAATGAAGGGAAGGGTAGGAAGTGGAGTACAGTGGAAGTGGGCTAGTCTGTCAGGAAGCCCAGCAACCAACGCTAGAAGCTGAGCTCCTCAGGGCCCTGTCCAGGGGCCTAGTACCCATATTGTTTATTCTTGGCAATACCTAACACAGAATGTATCTAACATTAAGTGTGAGCTTAATGAATGTTACTTGAAAAGGTGAAAAAAAGAACATACACAAAGGAAGAAAAGATTTTTACAAAGAGTCCAGTGATAAAAACCATGTTTATATTTTTGGAGGTTACATCGAGAATTATTTTATTTAAATTTTTTTGTAGAGACAGGGTCTTGCTTTGTTGCCTGGGCTGGTCTCAAACTCCTAGCCTCAAGTGATCCTCCCACCTCGGCCTCCCAAAGTGCTGGGCTTACAGGCGTGCGCCACCACACCCGACTGATACCTCGAGAATTGATTCAATTTATTTTGAGAATTAGGCAGAGTTAGAAAGAAAAACAATAATAATAATAACACAGCTGTGCACTGGCATAAAGCCTGATGGCTTGTGAAGGCTTTTTTTTCCATATTCATTGTCTATTTCTTCATGGAAAAGTGCATCGTAGGACATTTAGGAAAAAATGATAAGCTAAAGAACATTAAAGGTGAGACTTGAAATCAGAATGTAGGAAAAGTTCTTAAAATAGGTTTCTAACTAATATTAACCCATGACGGGTGGTTAAAGAGAAAGACTAAATTAGCACCAGGGAGAAATCCCAGGATCGGAATGGACAAGCAGAAGCATAGCGTATGCAGCCATTTACTCATCACGAAATCACCCTATTCCATCACCGTTCCATGTGTCTGAGCTGGACACAGGTCTGTGCAGCTCTCTACGCTCCCTGTGTAAAGCTATCCCAGAGAGCAGAAATTTTGGGAAGATTTCAGAGAAGAGCTATAAAGATTATTAAAGACTGAAGAAATAGGACCTACTATGAAATGTTCAAACGAAATTTGAGCAAATCCTTTTCGTTGTTTTAGAATTCATGATGATTCACACAATGCGGCTGCATGGGGGGAAGGGCTGTTTCTTAATATTTCCAACTATAATTATCTTTTAAAAGAAATATTAAATTTGGCTCCAAGTATAACACCAGATCTTCACCAGATCAGTTCTTTGGTTTATCCAGTTCAGCTTCCTTGCAGGGAAAAGAACATTCTAACAAAATTTCATAGTGGTTAATGACTGGCTTTTTGCAGCAAGGACAGAATGAAAAGAAATGCGCCAACCCATTTAGACTAAGTAAGCAGCAGAGGAGTTAGTTTAAACAGAGGTTGTCAGAGGAAGTTATGGAATCTACTTCCCTGGAGACTTTTAAAAATAGGCCAGGCACTCATCTCTCTGGGATGGTTTCAGCCTGCAGAGCAGCTAGCGGACGGCCCCAGGCCCTCTCAAGTTCTCTTCCATCTCTGTGAGGCTATCGGCTAAAACAAAGCTGGAAGAAGCATCTTTGGCAGGGCAAGCTGCAAAAACCCAGGCTCATTTCTAACTGTAATACTTTCTCACCACATGGAATGATAAGCATAGAAGGAAGGGTGGGGTCAAAATGAGTCCTGAACCACACTCTGTTGGCATTGCCAAGACAGGGGCTCCTTCTACCAGCACCAACGACAGCTGAAAGCACAGGGATGGCAGTCAGTGCTGAAGGACAGTGCTCTGCTGACTCCATTTATCCTGTTGTTTATGGTGTGGGAGGGGTGTGTGTGTCTGAAAACAGGGTAAGTCAAACTAATCGGAAAGAAAATTCAGTTACGAATCAGGAGAACAAATAGGGAAAGAACCTTCATGTTCTCTTGGGGTTAGATTCTAACATCAAGCGTTTGATGGTAACATTAGATCCTAACACTTAGCATTTGATTTGAAAGGGTTGGAGTTGTCTGTTGTGAGCAGATGGGGTTTTGCTGCTTAGAAAATGAGCTCTGTTACAGTCTCACAGAGCTGCTGAGTAATGGCCGGTCTCTCCCGTGGGCTGAAGAGCCAGCAGAGCTGACAGGCACAGAGGTGGCTTTAAATATCATGCACCCTGGCATTTGGTGGGGGAGTGTGTTGTCGCTAACTATGCTTCTACCTCAACAAAGAAAGTGGTGAGTTGCCAAAAAATAAGGATGCTCTGTCTTAGGAATTACGCTGAATTTTTTTTTAGAGAAGTCTATTCTCTTCATGTAGAATTTTATCCTAAAATATTTTCCAAATTTATTTAGGCATTATATCCAAGGAAAGCATTTAAGTATTGGGCCAGGTAACTAGAATTTGTAGAATGAGAACAACTTTCTGTCAACGAAGGTCTATCTTCTCTATTCATCAAGTGGTCTCAGGTGGCCTGTGGGGGGCGAGGGACCTGCCAAGGCCACAACGATCCGGGCTGGCCAGGGACCCTGGACATGGCAAGCTACAGCCTAGCAAATTTTCACACAGGAGGTGAAAATATGATTTTCTTCTTTTTAAACTGTTTTTTTTACCTCATTGCCTCCCATAAATCCTGCTCTTCAGAAAGGTCGCTTCAGTTTTATTTAGGAAAAGGAGTCTTTTCTTCGCCCCGCAAATGCTAAGTTTGTGCCCTTCCCTGGGAGCCTCGCCGTTACCTGAGTGGCCTGAAGGTCACAGACACAAGCAATATGGAGGCCGGTGGCTGCGAGGTGCTAATTGACGTCCCCAAAGAGGAATAGTGTCAACAATCAATGGAGAAGACAGAGCACTGGTAGATTTATGGCTCTGATTTTGAAAAGGTATGGGAATGCCCAGTGATGCTCCCGGTCCTCCCGCTGAATGTTAATGCTTTCTGGAAGACAGCTTCAGACACACTGCGAGGACGCTGCCTCCACTCGCCAAGCAGAATGCTCTGAAGAGTTGCTGAGGCGGAACTGCAACCATGGCTCGCCTCAGAGAAGCAGCTGGAGTGGCCGCTAATGACGCCTGACACAGAAAGACGATGCTCCTTTAACTCGGGGTTTCAACGGGAAGTTTCTAAGCCTGAAACAACAGCTTTAGACCTGGGGTGTGCCACCAGCTGCCTGCAGCTACCATTGTCTGCTGCTTTCACCGGCTGGTCAGGAAGAACGGGAACTAAAGAGCCTCGTAACTACCTGTAACTGTTCCTCCAGGAAATGGATCAAGTGTTTGTTCAGCCAGATCCAGGTACTTGACCCAAACTGTATCTTTGATGTGCTAATTGGATGCTTTTCTCTAACTTTACAATTTATGCATGAGCAATAATCGCATAGATACCTTCTGGATCCAAGTTCTGAATGTAGATCTAGCTTTTAGATAAAGTCTAATTAAACAGTTGCCGGGTAAAGTTAATATGAGGGGGCGAAATGTAATGATGCTTTTATTTTTAAAGCACGCTTAAGTTTACAGCGTTACTGGTGCTGGATAAAAGAAGTAGTGAAACAGGCGTTTTTCTTTCCTAAGCTGCAGTAATTTATTCTTGAAAGCTGTTTGCCCATTACAGTATTTTTTCCCACTCATTAAAAACATCCAACCTTTCAAAATACGACAAGGATGTTTTGACTTGTTTACAGACGATCACAATTCAACAACTCATAATGATAGCGTTGGCTGTCCCTCGGGGATGAACAGCGTGCAGCACCAGCCTTTTGAGGTATCAGCAAGTAATCTTTTTCATTGTGAAACACACAAGGGAAGAAAGAAAACAGGGTGGAACAGTAGGGTTTATTGTTTGAGGTTAAAAGTTCCGGTTTGCTAACGGTGCCTTTTAATACCACCAGCTACTGCCTGGGCACCCTCGTGCTGTTTTTCTGATGTTCTCAGCTAGGCTGCAGCCTTCTCCTGCAGTCCCTTTAAAACTCTTCAGGCAGGTGTTAGGAGGAAGATGAAGACAGTAAAACTGAGGTTGGGGCTCAGGCTGAAGAGAAAGGTCTCCTGCCGACCCAGAGCTGACAAGCAGCAGGAAGTGGGGAAGGGCAGGTCGACTCCAGCCCCAGCAGCGTTCTGTCCTGCTGGCACCTTTGCAGGAGGGAGCAGAAAACAGACCTCCCAGGGCAGCAGTGCTGAAACTAACTGCCTGTTGACATTTGTAGCTGACCAAATTCCCGTGGTTTTAAAATCATTATTTGTGGGCTTTCTAGTAGCCTTGGGTCTATTTTTTGAGAGTATAAAATAATATTTACCCTTAGCTCTCTTGTGAATTTTAAAGCATTAGGGCTATTGTATTGGAATGAGAGGGCTGTACTTGGAAAAAAGGATTATAGACGTTGCCATGTATTTATGTGAGCAAAAACAAGAGGAGTGGGAGGATTGAAAATGTATGAAGCACCTATAGAGAGCCAGGAAACTTTTACCTGAGGTTCTTGGCTGGTCACCAAAAGGGCCATGCATTCGTTGAATTTATATGAAACATTTTGTATCTGTGTGTGTATGTCTTGGAACTTGAGTTATTGTTCACTGGGCTAATCTGCAGAATTTCCAAAAGATTCGTAGGGGAATAACTTTTGCTTATGTCGTGATCTGATTACTTAGATGATGAGGTGGCTTCTTCAGAGGACTCGCAATTGTTGGGGGCAGATGCATCATAGGATCACCTGCGAGGTTTACGCGGTCTGGGGTGGGTGAGAGGTTGGAGAAGGAGGTGAACCTTGAGAGCCTCCAGTTATACAGATGGGAAGGCAGCTAAAGCTTCCTTTAGCTCTAAAAGTAGGGACTGATTCTATTTAGTCTCAATATCAGGGTATGTATTACTTCAGTCATTCAAAGCCATGTTGACATTTCAACAGTCAGCTTCAGAACTGTTGCAGAATAATGCAGCATTTTGAGTAAGTTTATCTTTGCCAGTCACTGCAAATTCAGTCCTGCCTAGCTAGCTAGTTCTCTTCCTGTTAAAGTCTACAGACTGGTCTCGCTAGCCTGCCAGATAAATATAAATAAGGCTACAGGATGTCTTTGTAGGACAAAATGTGCTGTCCATCACATGTGACTGTGAACTGGACGAGCCCGTGAGTGCTCTTCCTCATTGGACGCGCTGTTCTCACACCTACTTTTGAAAACATGTCAAGTCACATAACTAGGTTTCTGACCTAGAAGTTTTAAAAATTAGGCACGGCAATTATGTGTTTTAGGAGTTTAAGCATTGCTTAACTACACCCTACATGCCATTAACAGCTGGGGGATGATGACTTTCAACTCATTCCAACATTCCAGGGAAAAATTTGGGATCCAGCAGTCTTTGGGGGATGCTACTCTTTTGGTAACTGATTTTTATCATTCTGGGCAGTTTATTTATAATCTCTATTCCTTTGTTTGCATAACAGTAAGTACAAATAAATCTCATTTTGCACAAAAATGGTGTAAAGAGAAAACATTCATTCATCACCATCTATTTATTGGACATCCACTACGTTCCAGGCAGGACTACACGTGTAGTACAACTACTGTAGCTATTATCATTGCAACCCATTGCAAGAGGGTGGGCTCGGGGGTCGATGGCCACAAAAGCAAGGCCGTAGAATTTAGTGCCTGTTATGACTTCACAGAACAAGGTGCCAAATGCACTTGACTAATTCTGTTGCTGTCACTTTAAAAATTTGGAAAAGAAATATGTCATTGCTTTAAGACATATTTTCTTCAGAGAAAATGTTTTTCCTTACTGTGAAATTGTATAATGAGATGCTAATGAAATAAAATGTCCAAGGGATCTGAGACTGAGAAGGGAACATGTTGACATTAATAGTTTCCATGTAAGACATTTGGATTCAGGATATTTTAAACGGCCTCCCTTCCCCACCAAAAAGCAGATCAGGTAAGAAAGGGTTGACCTCTTAAATAGAAGGGTAACTGACTATCTCTGGCTGAGTTTTGTATTTCAGACCCCACCCAACAGCACGAGGCCAAGGAGAATTTAAAGAACCAAATAACTTACTGCTTTTAAAATCATGAGATCTGTGAGTGTTAAAGTGCCATTGTGACTTGAACTACCTGTGATTTTTTAAAACAAGACTTATTTCAAACACAATGGTCCAGCATCTCGGTTTGGCTGGATGATGTACTTTTCTTTTTCTCCTCCGGATCAGTCAGCTGGCACCCCGAAGTTTGAATTTGTTTCCTTGGACTGTAAGGGGCTAGAGAGTCGATTTAACCTGTATTTAAAGCGTCAATGATCCAAGCACAGCAAGGAGTTCCTCATGGAGCTTGTTGTTTAATAAAGGGAAGGAGACAAACGCCGTCAAGACTTGTCCTGTCATCAGCGCTGTCACAGAGCACCGGTGACATCCCCAGAGACAGAGCAGGAAGCGCCCCCTCCTTGGTGAAGGGAGACAGGTAAGGCCCCACTGAGGAAGGGGTATTTGGTGCAAAGCCTGAAGGACAGGGAGAGATTCCACAGGTGGGAGGAAGGGGAGGAGGAGAGCATTATGGGTTGGGGATCCTGGGGGTGTTCAAAGAAAGCAGGTGCTGGGTTGAGCTGAAGGACATTCTCCACAGGTGTCTGCACCACATTCGACTGCATGTAAGTTTGTTCTTATCAGTACATTGATCATTTTACGGGGAGCTCAGTGTGATTTGATGTCTGCTCCTTTTTAAAGTTATGAAAATAAATTAGTATCTTGAAAATCCCACTGTTACAGCAGGTCCTCATTTGTGCTCCAGCAAACATCAGGGTGTCAGGTCCACGAGGGGGTCGATGGGCTGTGGCCGCTGGGGTGTAAAGGGCTCCTGAGGGGCACAGGTAAGATCCGGGCTGAGGCAGGCGACTCGAGATGCAGTGCGCAGGAAGTGTGGGCACAGGAAGGGAAGGCCGCTCTGAAAATTTCTCAAGCTGAGCCAGTGGCTAACAGCGCGAGGGCCGTGGTTAGGTGGGCTGCTGTCGCGGGGCTGCGTGAGGAATCAGAGGAATCTGGTTTGCCAGTATGTCACGGTCCAGGGAAGTATTATGTGATTTTTGAAAATGGTATCTCTTAATTAAGCTTTTCTTGGTCCAGTATTAAAATTAAACTTTATTTCCTGAGCACACACAAATGGACCTGCCAAAGGGAAGACACAGATGTGCCGCATGATGGGAAAAGCCGGTCAGGATTAAGATGCTGCCGTGAGTAACCGTGGCCCTTCTTATACTTCAAATAACTGCCTTTGCTATTATGAAGGCTAGGCAGGGTCATGCCAAAATCTTTTGAGATAATTTACTTGCCGAGATTTCTCTACTTATCTAAAAGAAAGATTTCATTATTTAGTTAAAAGCAATCATGAACATTTTCTAAAAATCATTTTTACTAAAAAGGGACATTTTACCCTAAGACAGATATTTTAAAAATTTACATGTCTTTGAATATTTTTGTATTGTAGTAGTGAAGTGATTATTTCTTTTTCTCTGTCTTGTTATATCTGATGCTTCCTCCAACTTAAACATGCTGTTGAACTTTCTAAATTTGTAAATTATTGATTAGTTGATTGCAGGTTTAAAATCCAGCATGCTCTGCTAGGGACTTCATCGGTCCTAGGCAAAATCGTGAAAGAGTTGGCATTTGTTTTGGGATCTCTTTCTTTCTTTATAACTATCTTTTGATCATCTCATCTTTATCCACCACCCCTCATTCCTCCCTGGGGGCTCTCTAGTTGAGCCCCCTGCTCACTGCCCCATGTCCGTCCCCCTGGCCTTTCTAGAAGTCCCTCATTCCCAGCAAAATCTTCTTTTACTCCCCTTACTACCTACATTTCCCCCTCCTTGAGGTGGGAACGGTCCTCACAGGCAAATTCCTGCTAATACATCAATGTGTCGCTTTCCTTGGTAAAAGGAGGCTTTGATAATTTGACCAGAAGAAGTTATTTTCACGAGAACTTGGGCACTGCAGTGTGCTGGGAGAGGAGAGGTTTACAACTCACAATGTGCTATTCTTTCAACTCTATTTACTCATCGATTTGGTATATCTGGAAGGGGTTGGTGATGAAGAGATCAGAGAACATATGCATTATATTTTAGCCCACTTGTCAGAACGTGTGACCAGGCTGCAAAGAGGGTTAACCATATCTTTGCATCTTGCCTTTTAATCAGCACAGAGTGGTGAAACTGCAGGTTAAAACTGATTTTTAGAAAACCATTCCAATAGTTGGCATCTGCTGTGGGGAAGCTGGGTCCCAGAGTCATTTCTAGGAAGACTGAAGATAATCTGAATCAGGACCACTAAGTTATTTTTGCTGGGGTTTCTAGAATGGTTGCCCATCACTGAGCCCCCAAATGAGCGGTGTACCAGCTCTAAATCCTGAGTCGTGGGTGAAGCCTGGGAAGTGTGAGGTGCTGATCTGGGAGAGAAGGGTTTGGCATTTTGCCTTGCATGGAGGAGAAGGCTGGGGCAGACTGCCCCTGGGGCTCGCGATGGCCTTCATCAGGCAGATGCCAGGGTGGGAAGGGAGGGCGGACAAAGCATTGCTGTACCGGCCAGCCAGATTGTGCCCAGCCAGGGCTCATCTCGCAGGCTGTCTACCCAGTTCTTCCCTGTTTTCTTGGACTTCCTAGATCCAGAAATCCTTATCCTTTATTTTTACTTATATTCTCCATTCTGAATGTTGTAAATTTATACAGTCAATGGTCTTTGCTTTTCCTACATTTCCTTTCTGGATTATGTAGTGTTTTCATAAAAAACTTTCTGGAAATGCATGCCTGTCTCAGCTCTGTTGAGAATGGACGAAGAAAAGGACTCTGGCTTCATCTGTGCTGGAGGGAAAGTGGATGTAGAATGGGGTTCTACTAATGCAGTGAGGAGAACAGGGTCAGAGCAGGGAATCCTAGCAGGACAGGAAAAGGCAAGAGGGAACACGTCAGGGAGGAATCTGGTCCTCTAGCCTCAGACGGCTTTCCTTTGACCCAGCCCTCGGAGCATTTTATATTTGGTGTGATTAAGTCCTGTGTGTATTTTTGGTGGACACAGATGGCAAAGGAGAGCTGCGCAGGAGGCTCTGCCCCCCACCTGCTTCTGCCCCACCCCGTGAGTGAGGAATCAGCACCCACTGCAGGGAGGGTGCTTAGGAACAAGCCAACCACACCAAACCCAATTCATTAACATCCCCTATATTCCGAAAGAGCTTATTTTTAAAAAATATAGTCGAATTTTATCCCACTCTTACCTCAAAGCAAACATGAATTATAAATGAATCTTGCAACAGTTCCAGCCTTTAAACACGCTCAAAGTGCTGGAGCTGCAAAAACGATCTATTGTCCCCAAACTGGTAACTAACTCCCTTCTCCCAGGTGCTGGTTGTGATCCCTTCATAAACTGTTTTCTTAAACTGTGATTTTCTAATTTCAAAGTGTCAATATATACATGCAAACTGTTACTATGATTACTAATGCTGTACTTGAAGGCAATGATTATAAACTAACCGAAGAAATACGGTGTTGATGCTTTAGGTCATAAATTCTATTTTTATTTGGTTGCTTATTTTCTTTGAGCATAATTTCTTTTGGATCCATGTTAATTTCCATAGCTAACTATTCTGCTATGTGATTTTTCTTACAGACAAATTCTTAATAAATATGTCATATGATTTTCTATTTAGTAATATCTAATATATGTACTTTTGTTTACAAAATTTGATTTAAACAAATTTAGTTCAGTATCTGAAGCTTTTAATGACTTTTGTGTATACTCTGATTTGCTTTTAAAAACAAAGAGTAATATCCATGTACTTCATTTCTTCCACCAGTAAAATGGAAAGAGTGATAACATGTCCTTTCTTTTCTCTTCCTCTCTACCACCCACGCGGTCCTACATGGTAAGAAGCCAATGTAAGGAAAACTGTCCTCTTAAAATAAATGTGCAGTTGATCAATTCCTTTTCTCTAGCTCAATTCTCTAGGTGCTTCTCAGGATCAAGAACTGAATCTAGTCTTTGTTTTCGAAGAAAAAAGAAAAAGCAGCAGTAACTTAATGGTTTGGGAGTCTGAGATGCCTCCCTTGTCCCTTGGCTCAGGCAGCAGAAAGCATCGGAGAACCATCAGAGCTCCCTTAGTCACGTCTTAAGTGAAGCAACACTTTGGCTTTGTTTGTTTTTCTTATTGTATAGTTTTCAAAGGGTTTTCACAGACATTCATCCTTATTATAGCACCATGAGCTATGCAGGCATTTCTACTTGTGTTTTTACAGCTTAGTGACTTCTCCAAGGTCCCACATTCATTTAGCAGTAGGCTGAAGGCCAAAGCCCAGAGCCCAGAACTGATGCTGCCTGAGAGGGTTTTCTTTATTAAGCACCTTTTCTAGCCTCAGCTTCCTTGCATTGGGGCTATAGAGGTCGCTGCTTCCACGGAGCTTGTGGCTAACGTGTGTCGAGTTTAGCAGCCGCCCTGGCACACAGGTGGTGCTCATTCAATGCTACCAATAAAAGAATAGTGGAAGAGCAATATCATGGGAGGGGAGTTGGAAGAGACTTGGCTGCGAGGCTGGGTTTGGACGTCGAGCCACAGCGTACCCCGGGGTCAATGCTACCTCGTACATTTCTCTTCTCCTATGTTTCAGTTGCGTTTCCTGCCCACCCCTCCTGGCCCCAGGTGGTTCTTCTGAGAACAATCTGGTAATTTCATGCAATAGTAAAATATTTTTCTCCATAATTATACAGAATTAAGGATCTCTGGTGAAAAAGAAAGCTGGTTTACAGATTTCTTCTTCTCTTTGAAAACCGTGAGGGTGAGCCTAGAAAATAAGGTTGCTATTTGACGGTTATTCCCTTTCCTTCTCTGTCTTTCTCCCTGCAGATAACGCAGCGTCTGCGGGGTGCAGCCACCATGCACACAGCGGACCGATGATGGACGAAAGGGAAACCGCAAGATCCTGCACCTTGGCTTCCCTGGACCATGGATGGAGGACAGCCCGCCCCTTCTCCGCTGCCGCCCCTTGGGAACCTGTCGTCAGATTCTAGCATGTCTCTGGAGCAGAAAACGACGTTTGTTTTTGTTATTTTGTTGTTTATTTTCTTGGGCATCCTTATCGTCAGGTGCTTCCGGATTCTGCTGGACCCGTATCGGAGCATGCCGACCTCGACCTGGGCGGACGGGCTTGAAGGCCTGGAGAAAGGGCAGTTCGACCATGCCCTCGCTTAGTGGGCACGGGCCAGGCTCTCCTCGCGAGGCGGCCAAGTGCTCCGCGTCCTGGCGAGGATTGCCCCTGGTCAGTGTTCTCAAAAATCAAGTTTTAACGTATCTGGTCCTGGGACGGCAATCCATTATTCTATAAACACGCAGTTGGGTTTCAGACATTCGAGGATGCTGGAAATGGAGGTTTATATTACTGACCCAAAATAAGAAGGTTTGAATTTCCATGTTTGCTCAATGAATGAATATTGCTGAACATGTGTGATTGTGAAATCAGGAGCATCAGTACTTACGGAGACTTCGTCACAAAACAAAGCACTTCCCTATCTGACCTGAGAATAAAAGACTAGACCGGATCTGACATGAATCAGGTGAGGAGGCCAAGGAGAGGTTTCCTCGCTCTAGTAATGCCTCTGGTTTGTGTTATTTCCTGGGCGTCTGGGTCCTGAGCAGAGTGAGGAAGATCGTGCTGAATGGACCCAAAGCGGTTCCTTGTTTCTCCTAAAGCAGGGAGCAGTGGGAAGCAGTGGGAAAGCTTTGAACACATGGTTCTGTCCTTGGTAAATATGAGTGAGAATGATGTTTTACTTTTCAGATAAATCTGAATACAAAGGCTGCAGAGTTTTAAAAACTCCTCAGCAGGCCAAGTATATTCTATGTATTCATATTATTAATAATATGTGTAGAAGTAGCTATATGTAACCTGAATTTACTTTCTTCACACAAACGGTTGAAATGTAATAATAGGTTGCAAGTGCAGCTTCAAGGTTTTTTTTTTTAATAAAAATTGAATTGTTTTAGAGGAGAAGACTTTAACAGTCAAAAGAGGAATGGGTGTTTATGACTGTATATAGGCACCAAATAAAACTTTTCAAGAAACAGAAATGTCTCCTCTCTTATTTGACCAGGACAAATGCACTGAGGGTGGTGTGTGGTGTTGGATGCTCAGGCTTAACATTTTTCCAAGACAGAGAAAAAGAGCAAAGACCATGAAAGGTCATCCCCCTGCCATTTCAGAAAGGGCCCCCGCAAATTGTCCTGTACAGATAAACCTATTCTGAGCCCTCTTTCAGTCCACCAAAAAGGGGCATGTTAACAGCCCTTATTGCAACTTTTACTGGTAGGAAAAGTTTGTATCTAAACCAAACCCCTTAGGCTGTATTTACAATCTATGTCTTCTAATTTTCTCCTCAGCTAGTAATCATCTTTTCTGATTAAAGAAAATATTTAAAAGTTGACTACATCCAAAAAGGCAGCCCTTAGTAAAATTGTTTTCTAACCTCCTATTCTTTTTTTCATTCTTTGGGGTCCTGCTGCCTGGGTTCCCACTCCTCCCCATATGCACCCTTGATTCTTTTCTTTCTTGTTTACCTTAATTAAAGCTTTATTGAAATATGATTTACATATCATAAAATTTACCCTTTTAAAGAGCACAATTCAGTGATTTTTTTCAGTATATTCACAGAATTGTACTACCATCTCGTCACTATCAAATTCCAAACCCTGTACACACCAATAGTCACTTCCCATCCCTCTTCCCCAGTCCTTGGCAATCACTAATCTACTTTCTGTCTCTATGGATTTGCCGATCCTGCACATTTCATATAAACGAAATCATACAACATGTGCCTTTTATGTCTGGCTTCTTTCACTTAGCGTGCATACAAGGTCCATCCATGTTGTAGCATGAGCAGCACTTTATTGCATTGTATGGCCAAACAATATTCCACTGTTTGGATATTTCACATTTTATTTATCCATTGGCTATCATGGTTATCCACTGGCTGTTTTGGACAATGCTGCTGTGAACATTCATGCACGGTTTTTGTATGGACATGTGTTTTCACTTCTCTTGGGTATATACCTAGGAGTGGATTTGCTGGTTCATATGGTAACTCTTATGTTTAACTTTTTGAGGAACCATGAAACCGTTTTCCAATGCAGCTGCATCATTTTACATTCCCACCAGCAACGTATGAGAGTTTGGATTCTTTTCTTAACTTTCTCTAGCTACTCAAATGTCTTCTTTAGCTGTAGAATTTTTAATTGAACACACCATTGTAAGAATGCTTTGGATTAAAAAAAGTGAGTCAGCTCCTGGTTTCTACCTGCTACAAGTTTATTGATGCCTTCAAAGCTTCTTTGCTTCTAGATCTAAAGCAAAACATTGCTACTAATTTGTGGTCATCCTGTGGTCCATTAAGTCACCTGAGTGTTTTTGCTGTCTTACTAATACCTACTTCTTTAATCTACTAATTGTAAGGTTTCCTTTTTCCTTCAAATATACTATATCACGAGTGTCTTTATTAAATATTTTCTAATTTTTTTGAGAGTCTATTCAAAATCACTCAAGTATTTATGAAGTCCCTGCTTTGAGTCTGGAATTTCCAGTACTGGAGAGAGAGGAAAAAGGGCGAATTCTTGCTCTTGAATACTTGTCTACCTTGTTGGAGAGAGAATAAATGAAAAAAGGCATGTGACTGAATCATTGTTCAAATGACTGATATGGACCTACGGTTCCTACACCATCAGAATCAACTGGAGAGCTTAATATGTAAATGAATTTTTTATGATCACAGTAAAATGTATCAAACAATATAGAAAAATATAAACAGCAATAGTCAAAATTCTACCACCTTAGGTCAACCTGACTCCTCAGTTTCTCCTGGGGAGCTTGTTTAAATGGACATTACTACAGCCTTCCAACCCTAGGGGTTGATTCTGCAGAGTTGGGTTAGTGAATAAATGCTCCAAGAGATACAGTATGGAAAAAGATGAATATGGGCCAAAATAGTGAAGGAGATGTCCCAAGAGACAATGGCTCGGGTGTAACTGTGCATGTCTAAGTGCTTGGTCTAAAGCTTTATGTAATATAAGTTTTTATTACAAAATAAATTAGATCTCAACCTAAGAGGATGGAGGTGTTTTAGACACGAGCAAAGGAAAGGGGCCAGAAAACCGCAGACTAAGGGAGCAGAGGCGCGGGCGTGGGTGCTGGCTAGGGCAGCAGCCTGGCCGGAGGAGGCGGCGGGAGCGCCTGCGGGAAGGACGCGCTGGAGCGGGACATCAGAGGGTCCTCAACGGGAAGCCAAGTGGGGGGGTCGCCGCAGATTCATGAGAAAGAAAACGACACGAGGAGGGGCGTCAGTTCCAGCTTCCGCGTTCTTCTCAGGCCAACGCCGGGACCAACTTCTACAGCGGGACAGCCTGAAATACCCGCCCCGCAGGCCCCCGAGCGCAGGCTCCGCCCTGGCGCCCCCTCGCCTCCCTCCATTCCCGCTCTACTTTCGTTTCCCTTCGCAGAGGGCTGCCCGTTGCGCGGCCTGCCCTCGCGGGGCGCCCGCCTTGCCCAGAGAGAGTGCGGCAGCAAGTGGCGAGAGCCTGCGCTGCTGCAGGACACCGGGGCGCTCGGCCGCCTCGCTTCGCCCCGGGGGCGGCGGCTGCTCTCGGAAGGTCGCCCGCGTCCTCCCTGTCCCGGCTCTCTGCTACGGCGGTGCCGGGCAGCACTTCGCCTGCCTCCCAGGATATTTATAACGGGTGCGGCTGGCAGCCCAGGATGGAAAAAAAAAGAGACTTTCCCAAGGTCGTTCTCTAGAACAGAAAAATGCGGCAGCCTCCTTCTTAGCCCCAGCTCTGAATCGCAGCCCCACGGTTCATGCCCCCATGAGGCCCCAAGTTCTAGATCAACATCTCTGCCTCCAAGAGACCTTTTTAAAATACTTTCAACACTGAATAAAGCAAGTTTAACGTGGGGTGTGAAGGAGATTAACTTTCCTCCTGCTGGTAAATTAATAAACATTCCAAGACGGATGATTCTTTTGCTATTTTTAAGGGTTAAGGCTGAGGCAAAATAAACAACAGTTTTAGGAGGCAAAAGCTAGACAGAGCAGACGTTTATGTACGTAGAAAAAACATATATTCAAGTTCTTTTTTTATTGGATTCATTGTACAGTATTTTACTGAAATACTGAAGTTTTCATATTATAAGGACATTGATAAATTTAGTGTGATGAGAAATTTCACTTGTTTGCTATAAATTATTTTTTAAAAAAGTCTTGTAATTTCAAAATGTCAACTTTTAGAGTTGACATGTAAAACATATTGAAATGATTATTTTCAATAAACATTCTAAGCTCAAAAGCATTGAATAAAATCTGAGATGTGATTTGTGAGATATATGATGTGTGTCTTCTGAGAAAAATTATGTAAGATGGATGTTTCATTTAGTGATTAACCAAAAAGCTGTAGAGTAAAGCCATGATCTCCAGAAAAAGTACCCAGATCTCTACATGGGTATATGTGATATAGAATCAAACTGGCCCATGTGAGAAAAGATTATTCCCTTGTTTTGAGACAGAAAAGAAGAACCTTCTAAGCTTTGTTTGTATCTCTTATTTCAAAAAAAGATTAATGGATTATTTCCAGACAGCTGTCTACTCTGCAGATGTGGGACCTCCCCATCCTGCAGCTTGCTCTGGCCAGGTAAGCCAGAGCCCAACATGTTAGCCAATCTGTGGTCTTTTCCAAGTTCATTTTTTTAAGAATAGGGTTACCCGCTGGATTTAGTAGGAAACAAATTTTGTCTCCAGTTTCTGGCTATGAACTATACTCATGTCTCGTCCCAAAGCACCACAAGGCCCTCTTAGATCCCTCCATCCCACAGCCTTTCCCAGCATCCTGATTGATGCTTCTGTACTTTCTTTGCTTTAGAGTAAGAGAGATTCCCTATAATCATCTTTCCAAAGAGAACTCCACCATTATTCTCTTCCAATCCTATTAGCAGCACCAAGCTTATGTCAGCTTTTAAGAAAGTGGCTCTTCCTGGGCTCTTTGGAGTTTGAAAAGCTGGAAAGAAACATTGCTGTCATCTATTTAAACCCCCTCATTTCACATAGAAAGAAACAGAGAAGCAAAGAAGTCACATGGCATGACCACAGTGACCTCTCCACACAGGGGTCGTAGCTGTATCATCTTATACGTGTGCTATGCAGATGAATTCAAACAGAATG